CCAAGTGTCAAATATCAGAAAGAGGTTTTGTCACAAGTAGTTAAATTTTAAAGTTTAAAGGAAAAATCAAATATGGGGGAAGTTCTTGGAGTGTTATCGTTGAATGTGATGATAAAATTGGTGGCTACATGCTTTCAGTATCTAATTTCACAAAACAATGGTGACTAGGCTAAGTTTTAGGTGAAAGTAAGTTCCCTCTCCGGCAACTTACCCTATATCAAATGTGTTCCTCTCGGACACCCTCTCGTCTAAACTATCCAGTCTACGCCTTATCCACACTCGCTCTTTCGATGGGAATGCTTGGATATGGGACTAGTTTCTACCCCTCTTAGGCTGAACCTCATGTCAACCCACTCCTTAGGACATCAGTCTAGTGGTCTTAGTTTCACGACCTCTCTCTCGAGCAAGCCGAAAACACACAAGTGGTTTTGCATTTGAAACTACAAATCCATTATATTCAACAACAACCATTAGGTCAAAATCACCATTAAAATTTAATTTAAACTACAAGAAAGTAAGACCCAACAAATTAATCAACCCATAATTGCTACATCACACCCCAAGAATAGGGGGGTTTCAGCAACATATCAACTAATAATTAAATATACTGAAAATGATAAGAAAATCAAGTGGTTATAAAAGATCAAACCTTGAAAGTATCTAAGGAAGGTAAATGGAGAAGACTCACTTCCAAAATTGGAAGAAGAGCTTCTTTATTCAATCTTCCACAAAAATCGTCTCCAAACTTGAGAGAAAACTTAAGAACAAATTATCAAGTGTAATTGTTTCACTCTCTAAAATTTTCTATATGTAAATAATAAAAGAATTCAGTATTTGTAGACTTTAGAATAGTGTTGGAGAATCATTTAGGCGTAGTTAGTGGTGATTTAGCAAATCGACCTTCGTTCAGTTCATCATCGCTTGCACGTTGTACTTTTTGTCTATGTGTTCTGGATCGATGGGTGGAAATCTTATGTTTTGCGCAACTGATCGGCGAAGCGCCATCCACTTTATTCAGGTCTTACTTGGTGTAAAAGAAGGCAGAACTTCGCTATACGGCTGGATCGCCAAGTGTGCTTGGCATCGCGCACCTTAGCATCTTCAACTCTTTTTCTCCGTTTTGCTTTCGTTTTGTTCCTACGTGTCCATGCTCCTACCAAATCCTCAAATACATTAAAATTAGCCATTTTTATCAGATATTGAGATAAAATAAACAACCGAGGACACTATTTGCATTAAATAAGGCCCAAGATGAGTCCAATTTGAGAACTCGTCAACACCCCCAACTTAAAGTTTTGTTTCTCCTCAAGTAAAACTCAAGTTCAGCCGTTCAAGGAGGATGTCTTAAATAGTGATACACAAGACTCAATTATGAATATACACAATAATACGCAAATTACTCATGAATATCTCAATTGTATACTCAATGATTCAAGTTGAGATTCACTATTACCAAATATCTTTGAGCTCACAATACTCGCTACTAAAGCAAGTTCAAGCTCAATGAAAGTATCTTCATTCCCTCACACAAAGAATGTTTCCATTTCCACCCACGTAGATTTATCAACTCAAGATCAAGAATCTGATACAACGCTCACACTCACAAGAGTAACACAATGCATATTTCACCCATAGATTTGCCCTTATTTCCAATTGACTTTCCTTTCGGTTCGGTTCCCTCAAGATCAAAAAGTCCTTTATAAGTCTTGTGATAGGGCTAAGTTCAAAGGCATGGTCATTTAGGCTCGGTGGATTTTTCCTCAATGAGATGTGACTTTCTCAAAACATCTTATTTCTTCCTTCATCAATTCTTAGTCAAGTGCCTTTAAGTCATCATTTTTTCTTCTCTATAGACTGCTTGGAAATCTGATTTTTTTTTGTGATTTTATTCCACAACATCTTTTCCATTCTTTTCTTTTTCTTTTTCTTATCTCTTCTTTTTTATATATATGGAGGGTTTCCATTTCTCTGTAATACCATTGGTATGCGAGACTTTTCTTGCACTTATTAACTTCTCCTTTTACTTCTTACCACATCCCCAACTTCGGATTTGATCTAAGTTGGTTATTCAATTATGCACATCTCAAGAGGATTATAGGTAATGGATAACGTAACGTTTGGGTTTCATCAAGGTTTTCCAAAGAAGAGGTAAGTCTCAAAGGGTGTTCAAGAGTGTTTCACACGCTCATTGGTAGGCCACAAAAGAGGTATACGTCAATGTTAGCTTACACTCTTTGAACGTTGCCTAAGATCATATCAAGAGAACACCTTTCTAAATCAACCAGACTAACAGGGCAAATCTAGGTTTATTCATGGAAGTTCAAAAGTAAGCTCATCACACAAGGCATCGAAACTTAAGTCAAACAAGACTACACACTTTCACTAGTGTGCAATGGTCACTACCAAATAATCAATTCGATAATTGGCTAATAACAACCACATTCAAATAGTTCACATACTGTCTATGTAACTTCATTCGTTCTCGTTGAAGCCGCACATTCATGTTTGTTTTATTGAGAGAACTTTTCAAGTTATCAGTATTGATCAAAACTAAGAGTTAAAGTTGTACAAGAACAACCACTTTCAACACAAGAGGTGACCAAATTTTCACAAGTGAAAATTTTTTAGAAGGGTCAAAATTATTTAGAAATTAGGACCCCGAAAGAGAGTCATAGCTCAAACAATCCACAAAAAGCAGAATTTAAAAACACAAATTTTAAAGCAGACAACTCGAAAAAAATCTTAAAACACAATTTAAAAAGCATTCAGAATAAACAAACTAGTCAAAAAAAGCAAATCAAGGTAACCCACTACAAATAAGAGCATTTTTCCTCAAATGTTAACTATTGTAATTTACCAACTCAAATGACATAAAACTGAAAGGAATATAGAGAATGTCTTGTTTGTGCAGTCCTGTCAAGTGACTTGAGCTCTACACTGTCATTTCCCTTATGTTGCATTCATTTGTCATATAAGTTCAGTATTTTTCGAGGGGGTGGACAATTTTTTTCGCAGTAGTCTCTCCAGAGTTGACTAGCTCAGTGCTGATGTGATTCTTACTCATAGCGCAAATTGATAGGTACAATACTTAATTGATGAAGGCGTGTTTATGGCTACACGTGCAGAGATGTCAATTTGGGAATGCTTTTTTGAAAGCTTACTTAAGATTCCGGTACATTCAATCGGTGACTATAGGAAAGATTGCCAGTCTAACTGGCACTTCACTAATGGACGTACATGTCCGCCGAATGAATCAGAATCTTCAGTTCATGCAAGAATCCTGACAGTTGTCTCCATTGCTATCTCCAACACTTTTGGAGTTTCCAATAAATTATCTGGCTCGTCAATTTTTATAGGTTCCAACTTGGGGAATACTTCAGATCAGTTGGTTGCTAGAATTTAGTGCACCGAATGGCTTAGCAATTTTCCAACTGAACATATCAAGTATCCCCTACAATTCTTTAAAGGAACCTTCCGCACTTCAACCTATAAATACCTTCATCATTATTATTTTTTCGATACTAAAATAAAAGATAACAAAGGGTTTTAGGTTTTCTCCAAAACAACGCCTTAGTTAATGTCGTGGCATGACGCAAATCAATGTTTACTCTCATCCTCGAAGTCACCCATAGTGTAGTCAGCTAACGGTGGGTATTGACCTATCATTAAGTGGTTTATTTGTGTATCTTGTAGTTGCATTGTCATGGAGTTTGCGATGGTTTTCTCATCAAGAATTTTGATGTTGTCTTTCATTTCATTCCACTTCTTATCTTGCTCTTCAAGTTTCTTTTGAATGACTGAAAGGGGATCGTTACTCAATCCAGCCCCTTGCCCATTTCCTTGGGTGTATTCTTGAATGGTAAAATTTTGGTACTTTTCTCTTGCTTGTTCTTCCAACCCCTCTACCTGTTTGGACAACAGGTCTACCTGTTTCACGAGCTTACCCCCCTCGCATTTCTTTTGATCATTTTCAGTTGTTTAAATTGTGCTGTCAAGTGGGGTTGCAACAACTTTGTAGGGTTGACTTATCATTCTGCCTTCAAAAAGGTGTTCATATACTCCTCTATTCTATAGCTCTAGGCCACTCTATAGAAGCATATCTCATCTGGCATTCCATAGGATGGGTCTTCCCCTTCTTGTTTAAACGTCAGCGGATTATCCCTGAAGTTTAATAACTTCAGTAGAGGGAGATTTGTCTGATATCCATATTGGTCATCCATTGTTGCTTCCCTATTGTAGAAAGAAAATAAGCAAAGAAAAACTAAAATTAAGGTTACTAAACCTACACTATAAAGAACTATAAACTATGAGTAACTACATTTTCACGTGACACCACTCCCCGACAGTGGCGCCGTTTTGATTCGTTGAATGTTTTATAGCTCGTGATCAACAACACTAGCCTATAGTCTAAGTCTCTATGAATCAAAACTAGTTTAGTAACCCAACCAAGGGTTAGGGTCATGTCCCAAGGGAGTGGTAGTGAAAGTAGTAGCTACTTAGAATTTTGTTCTAAATAGTGATAGTTTAAAACATTTTCGGATATTTAAAAAAAAATTTAATTTGTGACACCAGAGTGTCAAACATCATAAAGAGGTTTTGTCACAAGTAGTAAAATATTAAAGGAAAATCAAATATGAGGGAAAGTTCTTGGGGTTTGATCGCTATATGTGAAGATAAAAGTGGTGGGTACATGCTTTTGGTAGCTAATTTCACAAAACAATGATGACTAGGCTAAGCTTTTAGAGGAAAGGATCAAAATAGTCCTTCATCTTTGGGTTAAGGCTCGAAGTGATCCTTGATTTTTCACATACAGCAATAATAGTCCCTTATGTTTGCAATATTGGTGCACTTTTGGTAGCCATATGCACATTTTTGTAAATTTTACATGTTGTACTACTATAAATTTCACTAGAAAAACTAAAACACAACAATATTATTTCACGAATAGTCACTTAATAAAAGTTCTACTTCTATCACATCCGTGCTCTATCAATATGAAGGGACAATTTCAGATGAGATAGAAGTGAATGTGCCATCAAATGTAGCATGGGAGCTCTATGGAACATTGCATTTGTCTAGGTTCATTGTGCAAGAGATGCCTACTCTTCTTAACAAAGTTGATGTGATCGAAGGTGATGGTAGTACTGCAACTGTCCTCAAAATCATTTTTCCTGAAGGTCAGCATAATCAATCTATCTTAGAGTTGATGTTCATCGAAGAAATGATATCTTATGTCCACTTGCAATATGAATAGAAAAGATATGGTCCAATGAATATCTTGTGTTTTCAATTTAAAGATCCCATGCGTTAATTTTTTTACTCTTATGTATAATAAAGGTCATATAGCTTAAATCATATTGGTAATAAGCTACATAATCAAATCTCTCATGTTTATTATATTGGAGCTAGAAACTTCAAGCAAAGTGAGATCGATATGCTTTGTAGAAAGTAGAAATGCTAGTTTTATATGAGCCAAGTGTAGTATGTTATAGTAGTAAGCACTTCTACGCCCTTTCATGATTACTTGATCATTCTAGTGCTGCAGGTAATATGACCCATAAAAGATATCCAATATAAAATTGTATAAGACCTTAGTAATTAACGCAGTTAGGGTGTGAGATGTAGACAAAATATTTCATTCATTTGGTGATCAACATTTGGTTGCAAAGGGCTGGGGAATCATCCACTTCATTAAATGTACAATGATAAAATCAACATAGTCTGAAGAATCTCACAAGTAAAGTCTCTGTAGGATAGAGTATACACATATCTTACCCCTATCTTGCAAGGTAGATAGCATGCATGTTTCTACAAGACCCTCAAACTCAAGAAAAGAATAAATACTAAAAATTATAAAATATTAGTAACACCATCAAAAAATATAATTAAATGATTATTAATTATGTTTTTTGGGGGGTTAAAATAGGTACACCAGGAATACCTTATTTCAAGGAGAGATTCAACATAGTAGACAATGAAAAAAGATACAAGCTATCTCAAGTGATTGAAGGTGGATATGTTGATCTTGGATATATTTTTTATGGAATTAGATTTGAAGTGAATGAAAAAGATGAAAATTCATGCATCACAAAATTTACAGTAAATTATGAAGTTGAAGAGTGAAACTTGCAAGTCATGCATTCACTATGTTTGAGCCATTGCAAACTGTCATCACATCAGCCAAGACTTATTTAACAAATAAGACACAAATCTAATTGATTAAGATGATCAAATTTCTGTTTTTATTTCTATGAAATTCAATTGTACCTTTTTCAGACTTCACTTATAAGATTGTACTGAGTATATTGTTATCGCAACATCATATTCAACAACATTTCACACATAATTATGTGATGCAATAAAGTATCTTCTTCTTAGTTTTATGTCCTTTTCCAAGTTATAACTTTTATATATATATATATATATATATATATATATATATATA